CATCACATTAATAGCTTATCACTCATGCACTGATGTAAGAGGAGGATTTGGCTGTTGTAGTCAGTTGAGGTGGAGCTCTGTTGAACTCCTTTGTATCCAAGTGCAACTACTGATTCTTTTCATTAGGGATTAATCTGCTGATTGACTGGTTTGTAGAACAATAGTGAGAAATGCCGGGACAATGCTCTAAGCGATTATCAGAATAGTTGCTAATTTACTGTTAGGCATGTGACGGCACAACCATACTGACCATACCTGTACCTTCGCTCGCTCGCTCACTCACACACACACTTGTATTTCTATCTTTGTAAGGACACTCGTTGACATAATGCATTCCCTAACCCCTTACCATAACCTGAACCACCAAAACCCTAAACACAACACTTTACCTTAAACCTAAAACTAAACCTAATTCTAACCTGAACCCTAAAACCACAGCAACCTTGAAAAAGGTGTTTCACAAAGTGAGGACCGGCCAAAACGTCCTCACTATCCACACGTCCTCACTCTGTAACAAAAACACTACTTATTTGGTCTTCATGGAGGGATGGTGTTCTCAAAGATGTTTGTTTTTGGTAAGTAATCCTGTGCTGATGATTTTCATTTCTTTTTTGGTGGATGGAGTTTGGTGATATCAGCCTCCTCTTCTCTGCCATTTGTCCGCTGCATGTGTGCGTATGCACGCATTTAGTTTTTTCCTTCAGTACTGGTAAAAAGCAAATGTGCATGGTACGTAAACCATCAATTTTCATATCATGATATACTGTGAAACCAGGATACAGCTGCAACCCAAATACAACACAGAGGGCACTTATGATAAAGTCTTTTATCACCATTCAAAGAGATGGCTGAAACAGAGCCGTTTCACATGAAACCTACTGCAACGTGATCACTTTACTACAGAGTCTTACAGTTTTCCCCCTCTTTTCTCAGACACTTTGATCCCACAAGGCTCCATCTCCTCCTGTAGCTGAACTCCTGAGTCCTTTGAAGTACCTGTGTAGTGTTCTGTTGTGGCCCTGGCCTCAGATCACTTATTAAATGAGACCCTGATGTCAGGACCTCACATCTTCGCCTCTTATCACTGATCACCAGCAATACCTGACTATGTCAGCTCTAGCTGTCTTGTTTTCTGTGCTTTTGGCAGGCATCAGCTGCAGAGCAAGCTACATGAAAGGCCTAATGTAGGGGTCGTGAAACATGGAGAAAATTCTTCACTGGGGATTTTTATTTTTTTTTTTTTAAAGAGAAAAACAAACTGACAAGGCCTAAATGATAACTTCAGAAATGAATGAGCTGGGTGCCGCCGGTATTCCTCACAATAACATCTTTAGTTGTGTACCTTTAAACTGTCTTAAAGATGTTTTATCACGGATACAAAACTCAATGCATAATGTAAATAGAATAGCTAAACCTTATTTCCATATAGACAAAGGAAACCTATTTGAGGCCACACAATTGACAATGCCTCATTTTTCATTCAGACTTAGTATGGGAGCAAAAGGTCTGCATTATTTCAGTCAGTACACTTCTGCTTCCCTCTGTTACGTGCTGTCTTGTATTAACAGTCTCTGCTACTGTCACACTTGCTCACTCTCTCCTCTCAACAACCTCTCCAATAATGCCACCCCTGGGGCAGTTTTCAATTTATTGTTTTTGGCTAAGGGCCCTTGCAACATGAATAAAATGAGGGAAACAATGGACTGACTGAATGAGCTTCATACCTGAATTGCTATACATTAGAAGGGACAAAGCTTTGCATCTCACTTTCTATACTACTGCTAAGACATTTTTACAGTAATTATTCTCCATTTCTATTCTGCACATTTCCATCGCTGTTCTTTTTTAATTTCCTTAATTTCTTCTTTGTTACTTATACCCCTTTCACACTAAAGCAGCACCATTATAAACAGATCAACAGTGGTCTCCGACAGAAACCTCAGAAAAATAAAAACCTTAAATACTACCAGAGGGTAAAGTTGTAAACTTTGCTGTTTGGGAGTTGGGGGAAAACCCCCTTAAAAGCAGTGATAACATTTCTTTTATAGAACATGTGGTGCTGCTACTCGAGAGCTACGGAGGTTGTGTGGAGAAGTTGTAAAAAAGCGCACATCCTTTCTATTAGCATCTCAGGTAGCCTCTCCCATTGACCTGTGGTTTTCCTGGGAATGCTGCAGCCTATGACAACTTTCTTTCAAGATGTGCATAACCAAGTGCATTATATAGTGCACAAACACCACAAACCTCAGTCAGGGTCATAAAATTAAACCAGACAGGAAATTAATCAGTTTGATTGTTCAATGAGCTCAGTGTAGACGTACGCATTTACACCTACCAGTCTAAACATACTGTATATACAGTGCACCGTCTCAGCAGCACATTAGTTCATTACATTTTACATTAACAAAAATAAATACTTGCCTAAATGCCGTTCTTCATCCACTCTGTGATGAATAAAATACACCTTATCCAGTCTCTTGATAACCGTTATAGTCTTTACATGCACTTGTCCTACAAACATACAAATGTAAACAAATCCACAGACAAAATCTTTCTGTTTCTGTCTGATGTTGGTATGTCTTGCACTTACACTGCCAGCCCCTCCTCGCCATCTGTGTCACATCCAGAGGGCTCTGTCTGCCTCGGGTGAGAGGTCTTCTGGCTGGGGACCAGGACAGTCCATGCCTCTCTTTGATCTGCCTTGAGCTGGCTGCTACCTGCATGTTCACACGCGCACACACACACCTCTGTTTTTGTTGGATGCATTATAAAATGTGTGCACATGAATCTATACCCTGCACTGTCATCACTCAAATTAGTATTTTTGTGCATTTAATTTGCACAGCTTAAGTGAGTCAATCTTTTATTTAAAATAAAAATGTGATTTCTTTCATGCAATCTGACTTAACAATGGAAAAATACCAAAAGTTACAAGGTTTTGCTAACATATATATGTGTGTGCTTCACTGTCATCTGGTTACCATTTGAGGACCGAATTACAGCTAATGATATCCTAGAGGAAAACTACAGTAGCTAAACATGAAATAGTTCCTCTGTTTCTTACTTTTTCTTTCTCCACCTACTTTTTCTTCCTGTCAGTCTGTTTTCGTGGCAGCAAGTTGAAGTCTTGGGGGGGGGGAACTGAATTTCACAAATATGAATACTTCAGGCTTTATATGCAAAGTCTTGTCAGAGTAAAACTTTATACCAACAGGCAGTTTAAGTGTGTGTTTGCCTGTGCCACATGAATACTGTGTCCCACAAACAACACACTTTGTTTCACATCTGGATTCAATCAGAATCCAACGATCCCCCCGCAGCCTCTCTAAGAGAGAAGTAGGTTAGAGCGCCAGTGTCAAATATCATCTGATTTGAATATCTAAAGTAGGGGTTTCTGGATGTCTGAATGCATATTATTTTTGATAAAAAAGAGAAAAATCAGAAATAGACACTTGTTGCATATACACAGGAATGCTATCCTTGTGTATAGGTACAAGGCCACCTTAAGCAATTATAGCACTATAGAACATTTCAACTTTCTGAAATACTCGTGTTTCCCTCTCTCCCCTATGTTTAACTGTAAGCATTTAGACCTTTTCTTGTAACTGTACAAAATCCACCACAACCTCCTGTTACTTCCCACATATGCCACGTGACTCCATCTAGATAATACTCTAATAAAGGGATCAGATGTTAATGTCATCACATGACAGGTCATGAGACGAGGTGCATGGAAATCAAACTCTCCGGTTCCCATTTTTTAGTCATCCTTTTAACAAATCAAAAAAGGAAGGTCAACTGAATGATAGTGTACTGAGCCAACAGCACAGAGCCCTGCTTCCTTCTTACAGACTGTGGTCACCTTCTTGTACAATGGGGAAATTTGGGGCTTTTTAACGTCGGCCTGCAACTGTTTGCTGTACAGCACATACACCGTTCCTCCCTGTCCACAGATTAACATAGACACAAATTGACTTTGGCTATGGATGGGACAGGTGGATGCCCTCCTCAGGCTCACACTGGCTAATATCCACCCTCAGTCATTGTTTGTAATATAATGACTTGGATTCCCTATGTACAGCTTCTTATAGCGTACACGCATATATGCACCCATGCTGTCAGGACACCCTCTACCACTGCAAACCATCTGTAACTGCTGTAAATGCTGAGTGAAGGGGGTGTGCCGTTTGATTGATAGAGCTGATGTTTAATAGATGATAGAAGATCATATTTGCTATTTACTGGAGGCAAACTGTATAAATAAGGGACAATACCAGACATGTTGTACATTCTATGATAATAATATCTAATATTAAAAATACATGTTTATTTACTTTAATTTTGGTCTTGTCTTTTTGTTTTAAATATGAAGTTGCTGGGCCAATGTAGTTAAAACATTTCACAAGTTTTTAAATCCTAAGTTTAAATGGAGGACAAAGAAATTGTATTGATTCCTTTTACTCTTGAACATAATTGAACCTACAGGAATAGAAAACTGAGCTACATTCCACCATACAATAATGGGAAAAATGTTTTGTAGCAGATGTAATGTTCTGTGTCCTCCTAGCTCTATACATCACACAGCACTGTCTGTCTCCATAGCCCTTTCCCTCTTATCTTACATGCTACTTTGTGTGGTTTTGTGACATTTCCTGTCTCATTTTCCTCAGCTTTAGCTAATATCTTGCGTCACCTTTTTATAAACATAAAAACGTTCCAGTTTTCCTATGAGGACTGGCATTAATAATTCTCACATGCATCATGTTCACTTCTGATGGTAAGCCAAGATTTCTCATGAAAATTTAGCACTGCAGTGTAGCACAAACAGCTTCCTGAACAGAACTGCCATATGTCTGTTATATTTATAAGAAAAGTAAGTGTGTTTTTCTGTACTTTGATTTGTACCGTAGTGAAGAATTCTACAGATACTTTCCACAAAGTGATACAAATCACTGGTCTTGACAACCGCTGTCTCTTACTCTGTGATTTGTCTCTACCAGGTCTTCCCACCCCTTCCTAATGAGGCTGATA